GAAGAAGGCTGACGAGTTGGATGACTGAGCTGCCATGGCCAGATTTCTGGGTTTTTGCTCAGGGGGCTCTTCTGCTTTGCTCACAGCGGATCAGAGGCTCGGTCAGCATCTCCATGGTGCATTTAAGGGTTTGGCACAGTCGGGTTTGAGTCATGTCGGACTTCGCGCCGTGGGGCAGTGAAAAGAAGTTCTCAAGACAAGCAGGACCTATGTTCTCGCGCATTTTTTTTTGCGTCACGGCCAATATTTCGACCCTGGCTCGTGGATTTCCGGATCCTTTGAACAGATCTGGAGCTGGGATAGATGTTTTCTTCTGGACCGGCCATCGAGAGGCCTGGCTTACTCGATACCAGCCGGTGAGAAAAGTGCCCTCAGCTCGTGCTTGCATTGACTCTTGTGATACCAACCAGGAATCCCAGTGAAGTCGTTCGCGTGGTATGAGAGTTATTTCCCATGCTGCAAGGTCCGAAGCTACTGATGGACGAAATCCTCTTAGGCACCACCTAAGAAACCCGGGTTTCTGATGATTCCCCTGTAAATGCCAACCAACATTATGGTTCCCATGGGTTCAGTTTTGTGCAGGATTCCGTCCACAGTATTCCAGTTGCCGCTGCGTTACGATTGGGGTTTCCAGCACTTCCCTTGCCGAAAAGCTGCTCTCTTAACAGGACAACCTGTTGCTCACCCGCTTGCTGCATGCGATTCTTAGATGGTAGCATCTTGTTATGATTATTATTATATTATTGTTGTTTTTGTTAAGTATTTGTATTAAGCATCATCATCATATTCTTCGTTTTTATTCTGATTGTTATTATTATGATTATGTATTGATTCATTCATTCATTCATTCATTCATTCATTCATTCATTCATTCATTCATTCATTCATTCATTCATTCATTCATTCATTCATTCATTCATTCATTCATTCATTCATTCATTCATTCATTCATTCATTCATTCATTCATTCATTCATTCATTCATTCATTCATTCATTCATTCATTCATTCATTCATTCATTCATTCATTCATTCATTCAAGATAAACAAAATAACCAAACAACGCAAAGACGATTCAGAAAATAGACCTTCGTGCCTCAGATAAATCTATTATTCTCATGTTGACTATTTATTTTGTATTACTAATGAAATCTCATTTACAATCATATCCTTGTCCTCTGATCATAAATTATTTTTTGCAATCTTGTTTTTTTTTTTTTTTATTAGGAATTACTATTTTATTACAAATTATCTCTGGAATCTTCTTAGGTTTACATGTAACATCATATATTAATTCAGCATATTTTAGTATTGTCTTTTTAATTAGAGACATATATTATGGATGGTGTTTACGTTATCTTCATTCTAATGGTGCATCATTTGTCTTTCTTTTTATATTTCTACATCTTGGAAGAGCTATATCTTATGCTTCATATTTTTATAATCCTAATACTTGGTTTTCTGGAATTATTATTTACTTCTTCTTAATGGGAACAGCATTTATGGGTTATGTTTTACCGAATGGACAAATGAGTTTATGGGGAGTTGCAGTAATTACAAATATATTATCTCCCATTCCATCTTTAATAGAATGGCTTTGTGGAGGACATTATGTTTACAATCCAACATTGAAGAGGTTCTTTGTCTTTCATTTTCTATTTCCATTTTTTCTTTGTGGTTTTCTTCTTTATCATATTTTTACTCTACATGTTCTATCTTCTAATAATCCTAACAGGAATTCCACTTATAATAAAATAGCATTTTTCCTTTCATTATTAGTAAAGATTTCTATGGAAATATATTAATTCTCTATCTATATCTTCTTCAATTTACCTCCGGGTTCTCTTCTTTCTCACATCCAGATAATGCATTAGAAGCATGTGGGTTACTAACTCCTTTACATATAGTACCTGAATGGTATTTCTTATGCCAATATGCTATGTTAAAAGCTGTGCCAAATAAAAATGCAGGATTCATTATCTTATTATAATATTTACATCTAGTAGATTTAGTGGTTTTTATCTGTGCTTTTGGTTTCTGAATCTTTTTTCTTTTATTTGGATAGGTGGTCAATTTCCTGTAGACAACTTTCTATCTTATGGTCGTGTCTTGTATCATTTGTTGTTTATTATTTACTATTATTATTATGATTATTGTTATTATTATATACATCTCATATGATAGTTTATATAAATGATATGAGTTGTTCAGAGAAACCTTCCAGGTTGGGTTAAAGGGACACCAAAAGGAACACCAGCCACCATTTGGGGGTTCCCCGATTGCGACATGAGCCCATGTCACGATTGGCGGTGCCCATCGTTTTGAGGAATGGACTGTGGCTTGGGCAGGAGACATTTGGGTTCTCGAGGCCAAAACATGGGCTATCCCCCTTGAGTTCTCCTTTGGCTTCCTACAAATCTCAGTCCCTGAGTTCATGGGCTTGAGCTACTTTTTGGCGAGACCCATGGTGGCCAAGCAGTTTGGACTTCTTTGGGCCAATCCACGCAGGAAGTGAGAAATGCAACAGCAATAAACAAAGGACAAAGGGTCTTTTTTCCAAAGCGGCCACGTGTTTGGGTCACGCTCCCCTCCCGTGAAATGGCTGTTTGGGTGCCGGTTCAATTGGAACCGGATGCGGTGTCCCCTCAGATAGATTCGCTTGGTTGGGCTAAGGAACATATGGTCCTCTTTGTCAAACGGATTTTCGGATTTTCATTGAAAAAAAGCAAAAAGGAAAACACAAAAAGGCGTTGTTTTGTTTGTTTGTTTTTTGCTGGAAAGCCAACCCCTGAACCAGGGCAACAGGGCGAGCCTTATCCCACTCTAAACACTCACCTCTCAACTTGCTTTGATTCCACCCTGAGCCAACCACAGATCAAGCCTGAACCATCCTGAGCCATCCAAAGCCCACCGCGTGCCAAGCGTAAATTAATCACTTAGCCGACCCTGAATCCAAAACCTGAGCCACCCAAAATCAAGCCTAAATGCACCCCAAACTATTGTCAGGCAACGCTACACCAACCATGAACCGATCCCCAAACCCACCCTAATAACCCCTGACTGAACGCACACCCTACCTACCCTGAACAAGCAGCCCGCTGGCGATGCTATTGGTGTGAATGATGCTGAAGAACGACTGACTGAAATATGCATTGATCCTGCAACCCAGCCCTCCATCTCTTGATCTATGTAAGCATCTATCTATGTACCTCTCTAATATACTGATCTGCCAATATATCCACCCATGTTTTCATGTACTCACCTCTCGATCTATCTATCAAATCTACTGGTTTCTGTATCTCTCCCTCTCTCTCTCTCTCTCGCTCTCTCTCTTTGTCCATGCATCTACCTATCTATCTATCTATCTATCTTTCTATCTGGCTACTGTCTATCAAGCTATTTATTTTTGTCATTGATCTTTCTATCTGTCTACGATCTATCTATTTGTGAACTAATCTATCTTATCTAATCAATCAATCAATCAATCAATCAATCAATCAATCAATCAATCAATCAATCAATCAATCAATCAATCAATCAATCAATCAATCAATCAATCAATCAATCAATCATCTATCTATCTATCTGTCTATCTGTCTATCTGTCTATCTATCTATCTATCTATCTATCTATCTATCTATCTATCTATCTATCTATCTGTCTCTCTATCTCTCTGTCTCTCGTTCTATCAATCCATGTATCTATCTGTCATTTTTTCTATCTCTCTATCTATCTATCTAATCCGTTGATCTCTCTCTCTCTCTCTCTATCTCTATCTGTCTCTCTGTCCATCACGCCATGTATCTATCTGTGAATCAATCAGTCTATCTATCTTATCGTGTCTTGTCTGGTGTTGTTTTATCTTATCTATCCAATCTATCTAATCTATCGAATCCATTTAACCTATCTAATCTATCTAAGCTATCTTATCTATCTTATCTTATCCATATTATCTACCTATCTATCTGTAAAGTTCTATCTAATCTATCTATCTAATCTAATCTAATCTAATCTAATCTAAACTAATCTAATCCAATCTAATCTATCTATCTATCTATCTATCTATCTATCTATCTATCTATCTATCTATCTATCTATCTAAATCTATCTATCTATCTATCTATCTATCTATCTATCTATCTATCTCTATCTATCTGTCTATCTATCTATCTATCTATCTATCTATCTATCTATCTATCTATCTATCTGTCTCTCTGTCTCTCTGTCTCTCTGTCTCTCTGTCTCTCCGTCTCTCCGTCTCTCTGTCTCTCTGTCTCTCCTTCTATCAATCCATGTATCTATCTGTCAATTTATCTATATATCTATCTATCTATCTATCTATCTATCTATCTATCTGTCTATCTGTCTATCTATCTATGTATCTATCTATCTATCTATCTATCTATCTATCTATCTATCTATCTATCTATCTATCTATCTATCTGTTATTTGTCAATATGTTTGTCTATCCATCCATCTATGTCTCTATCGATCTATGTCTATCTAGCTACCTAGCTATGTGTCTACCTATCTATTTAACTTGTTTGCCTTTCTTTTCATCTTTCTAATCTGTTTACCTATCTATCTATTTGTCTATCTAGTCTCTTTTTTTTTCTCTATCTATCTCCCTATCTCTCCTTGATGAACCCCGATGCCCTGTTGGCAGGTCTCGAAATTGGATGATATCAATGCCCTGGTGACTAGCGGTGTTCATGCTGCAACGCCTTGCTGAAAACTGCCATATATGCTGCAGAGTGCCGCATCTCGATTTCCGCTCAGAGCACAGCAAAACGAAAACGACAGCCACTCGACCCTGAAAGTGTGGGCTGTGCCTCAAACCCTGTCTGAGACCGTCCTTTGAGGGGTTCCCCGGCTTGAAGACAGCCTCTAGCATTTTTGTTGGCTCTGAATCCTGACACGCCTCGTTGCCTTGCCTCGATCTTGGGCTTGCGAATGTCAACCCCCGCCCTTTTGCTTCGGGTCCGGAAGCTCCCGGCTGAGATACTGATGCGCATGAACATCAACAGGCGCTCTGAGGTCGTCGAAATCATCGCCGAACACCGATCCCTATTGGCGAGTTGAGGTTCTACTGCCTGGTTCTCTGTGGAGTCCTATAAGCCTTTACAACCATCTTAGTAGAATGTAACAGTCAATGGGTTTTGGGCACTGCTCACTCAACCCATCAAGATTGGCTCCCTGAGTTCCGGCTACAAACTCCGCGCAAGCAATCGAACACCACATCAGATGCGGAGAAGAAAGGGGAAACGTCACAATGGTTCATTGCTCTTCCCACCTGTCAGATGATCCGAGTGGATTTGTCGTCCAGATCACGGCTCTAGTTTCGGCGCATTTTCAGATTGTTCGCACCACAAAGGCCGAACACATAGGTTGACTGAAGACGTGCACAAGGAATCCTCACACTATTGGGCTAAATGTCCTGCACACCTTGAATTTTCTGGGAAGCTATTCGTTTTCGGCTATATGACCTGTAGATGGGATATATAGTTTGGGGCATCAGAGGTACATCCTGGGGGCTAACTAACATATTTGTACTCTTAACCGGAATGCCCCCTATCAATCAACCAGCTTCTGAGAATTCTGGGTTCATTCCGTTTATCTGCCCACCATTTGCCCAGTGGTAGCAAAAGGGAACCCTAAACGTGGGGTCCATATTTAGTGGCGGAACCCACCAAGCAAAAAACGGGTGCCACTGGACAAGCCCATATTCGCTCTTGAAGTGTGGCAGGTGGTTTCAAGCATAACCCTTTTGGCATACAGGCGAGTTTCCCTTGGGGGTGATGTTTCAGACAAACAAACACATGCCCGCTTCCCCGGTATCCCCGCTAGTTTGTTTTCCCATGGACATTGATTTTCCGAGTACTGGGCTCTCTCTGGCCTGCCTCTGGCAGGCTGCGCCATGTGGCGGGGGTCGGGCCCATCCCTACCCAGGCACTGACGGGAACTGACGGCTATGCAAAAACCGGATGTCGTTGCCACGGTAGGACTAAGTTGGTACAGTAGGTGATTTATAACATGCTTGTTCTAGAGGTTGATTTATTCTTCGAACTGGGGATTTTGGCCAGCCACAGTACCGCCAAACCGGTTTTGGTGGGTTTGAGTTGTTTTTGAGGGTGTGTGTGTGTGTGTGTGCTGTCGGGTGATTCAGGGAGCAAACCAGCAACCAACCTATTGTCAAGCCATCAAGCCAACGTGACCCAGGCGGAATATGAATTCCCAACAGGGTGGCACAAAGAAAAGTGAACGGTTCCACGCCGCCTTCCTCCAAACGTGAAGCAAGCAAAGATAACAGATTTGACAATGGGATTTATTGTATGTGCTTGTTTTGGTTTTGACATCATGTTGGGCCGATGTTCATTGAGGCTTCGGAGTGATTTTAAGTGGCGACTTCTAGGGAACACACAGGAACACATGCGGGGGATACACAGGACTGCAACAGAGTTGGGGAGATGGCAAAGGAGCCATTTGGCTGTGGGTCAAAGCCAATGGTACCATCTTGGGGTAGGTGCACCACCCATTTTAGTCTATTTTAGTGGGGAATGGGATGTTCACTGGGGGTACGGGATTTTGACCCATGGCCATGTCCCTTGGGGCTCTTCCGCAAAAGCTCTCCTTTTGGCGGCCCCACATTCCATGTGGGAGGTCCCCAGAAGCTCAGCTTTCGGTTCTCGAGTCGAGGATCCAGACACTGCGGCTCCAGCCCGGAAGCTCGGGAGCACGTGTAAACGCCCAGTGGTTGATGTCCCACTCACTCCCCGAGTTCCGAAACTCGGACTTTGGCCACTTTTCGGGGTTGGACCAATCATTTGGGTGTGGCTCAAAGTTAAAGAAAGAGGGTTACGCAGGTTTTAGTCTTCGGTTGCATTTACGAAGAGGTCATTTTGGTACATGTTTTTCAGCCACAGCCATGTTAGTGGTAAATATCGAGTTTGGTTGCTTCTTTTGGCCCATCCACTCGATCGGACGTGAGCCCAAGAGTTTTTGGGTAGCCGAGAGAGTGAATGGACCCCAGAAACCCCAGGGCCCCTCCTCATGTTGTGGATCTCTAGGGACGTGGCCGGGCTGTGGCTGGTTTGGGGACGTTTTCTTACGTCATGCCCTTTTCAAAAAAACAAGCGCACTGTGGGGGAAACCTTTGTAACAATCCGGTTTATTAGGGGATGGTCCTAACCCAAACATTCGGCGATTCTAGCGTTGAGTTGACTATAACCACAACCATCAACTTTTCAGACAAAGTATTCATCAAACAAACAATCAACACAAGCTGAAGCAGTCACTCGCACAAAGCGAAGTGCCCACGGGAGCCCGTGACCCTGTTTATTTCATTTGACTGTTCTGGGGTCGTCTTGTTTGATGTGAGGCTGTTTTGGGGTGGCGAAAACCTGTCATACCAATATTTGAATTGGCACTACTGTATTCATTACGAGAAATCTGAGATTTCATCTTGTCAATACTACATGAGTAGAGTTGGCAATACTAAACTAAGGACGAGGAATCTGAGATTAAGTCGTGGGCAACACTAAATGTAGAATAGGCAAAGCGAAAGTGAGTCTTGGTAATATTGAATTTAGAATTGGCAATGCTAAACTAAGTATTGGCCAACCCAACCCAGACTCCGTCTTTTCCCACTAAAGAGGGTCTCCGTGATTGTTGAAACTGTCCAGGGGTTCACATTACAATATTGTAGGAGGTCCAACATTCATGAGTCAATCACATTCCAAGTCACAGAACCTCGAGTGCTGGCTTCCAGGAATGCCAAGACCAGTGGGCACAAATCTGGCAAAAAAAACACAACTTTTCCAGCTTCCCTTTGAAGGTATGTTTTCAAAGGGCAATCTAGGGAGCCCGCACCCAGATCTTCAACTCAGGTTGCGATCACGGCTACAAATTGGGATAGGTCCCCCAGTAGTGCCCTTTTGCCCCTTTTTTTGGGGAGGGTTCCCCTACTAAAATAGACTACAGAAAAAAATCGGGCACCCTTATTCTAACCTCTCTACTGGACCTAGCTCAGAGGTACACGCCATTGAACCATAACCTACCTGACATGGGTTGGGCATGGAGGGGCCTGGACCCACTCCTTTGTCAAGGCAGGGGGGAGATGGGCTGGCGTCTTGTGGAGACTTTGGTTCTCGTTTCCTTTCCGTCTAAAGCGTCTAAACCTGACCAAAGTGTCCCGCGCCGCGAAAACGATGACACCCATTTGATGAAACCTGGCACGACCCTGGCCTTGGCCTTAGATCAGTTCCTTGCATGGGATGGCGGTGAATCCGGCTTTTACCTTTCACCCACCCCCCTCACCGTAAGATTGAGGGACACGAAAACCGAACCGCTGGGTGTCCGCCCTTGCCATTCATAGCTAAATGTGAAATGCTTCTCAAAATGCCGTGACCTTTTAAAACTCAAAAAGGTGAAGGTTTCCTTTGAAATTCGGTGACCCCTCTCAAAATTCGGTGAACGGTTTTGTTTAAAACCCCACGCCAGCGGCTTCCCCAAAACGAAGCTTCGACCTCCACCTAGGCCCGGTGGCCGCTGAAACTCCACCGGGTGCTGCTGGCTCCTGCGCCCACCTGGCAGGCGCCAACGATTTTGTGCGGGGTGGGGATGGCCATGTGAGCCACATGCTCAAAACTCGGGGGTTGATGAACAGGGCTCCTTAAAAGATACATATTGCAACTGCAACCATTTGAAGCATGTTGCTTTTTCCACCAAAATAAAGGGACACCACCATTTACAAGGCAATGTTCAGGTGTATAATGTAAGGATCCCTGATGAAGGTTTGTAAGGGGCAATCCCCTTGCCATAAATCGCTGCGGATATCCGCCTTCTTAGTTCCTGAAGCATGGTTCTGAGATTACGACCATTTTAATACCGGGTTTTGATTATGTCTCATTTCGGGATTCCAGGCCATACTGTGGATGGACGAAATCCTCTTAGGCACCACCGTTCAGAAACCCTGGTTTCTGTTGATTCCCCTGTAAAGACCAACCAATCATGGTTTCAACGATGGTTTCCAATTGGTGCGAAATGGAATTCATAAGGACCTCACACGACCGAATTCACCCCAAATGGTGGTTTATGTGGGGAATATCCCTCCAACCACCTTATTTCAGGCTGGTGAGATATTGTAATTCGCCCAGATAGCATTCCGGGTAAGGAAGCCTCTTGACCAGGTTACCCTGAATATTGGTGGTTGGGATTGGTGGTTTGGGGATTGATGGTCATTTGGGGGATAGACTCTTCCATTTGCTGAAATGATTTTGTTTTATTTTCCCTTTTTGGCCTTAAAGGGAATCTATCACTACTGGCCATATTTTTACTTTTTTCCTGGGGGGCTTAAGCAACTGGAGGTAGTGAGGATTTCCAGCCACGTGAGAGGGCGTGCAACGGGGTCTGACAAGGATCCCTTTTTAATGACATGGTGCCCCAGTCGTGGTTGGGCTTCACTTTGGGAGATGATAAATAGGGAACCAGCTGAGCAGGGGTCCGTGGACATAAATAGTAAATGATCCACCAAAGGGTGAGGAAGGCTGTTGATGTGTTGATGGCCATGAGTTTGGGGGGTTTTAGACATCATAAGGATTGAGACAACCATGAGTATTGCCCATTTTAAAGAGTTATGACCATGTCACGTGGGGTTGTCACCGAATGAAGATCAGTGGGGAACCCAGCCAGAAACAGGTGTCCGCCGTTTTTAGTGGCACGGTTTCGGGTAGCCCTCACGGTTCCTATCATGACCTCATGCGAACGCGAGAGGTGTATAACGATCCTATGAAGGGAACCATGACGATAGGCCATACAACAAGCTTTGACCATGGCACATATATGATCTGGGTTTCCCTGGTCACCTTGTAGCACAGTGAGCGACTTGCTGTGAGATGCATTGGGCAACTCGTTCAAACTTCCTGACTGGAGGCGGGCAACAAAATGAAGATAGGCCATGCATCCTTGTAGGTCCGTTTTGTTGAACATTCATGGATTCCACAGTTTGCAGTTCAATTCTATCCATGTAATGGTCCCCTTTGTCTTTCAAACGGACACCTACTGAAAAGATCGGTTGCTAGTGAACCAGACTTCTGCAAGATTAGGCCTTGTACGCCAATGGGGAATAATTGTGAGAACTCTTCTGAGAACCCCTACGAAGAAGATTGCAAGACACTTTTCTAGGGGCTGGGGGGGGTGGAGTAACAGCGGAGTAACACCTAACTTCATACTCCAAACCGTCCTTTGTGTGTGTGTGTGCGTTCTGCAGGACAGGCGATGGGGATATCTCCAAAAGATATCATTCTGCAAATGGGAGTTTTGGTGGGAACACCCTTTGAGTTAGGTTTAAAGGAAAACAAAAGGGACACCCACCATTTGGTGATCCTCTAATGTTGAGATAAAGTTTGACATGGACTCGCCAAGCACATTGGCTCGCCAACCAATGCGCAGCTTGACCATATGCAGCGTTGTTTCAGCGGCACACCTGTTCACCCCGATGCGCTGTCAAATTCCAATTACCGTGTCTGACAAATGCATATCCCGAGAAACTCATGGATGTGCGCAGATTTCCTGTGAGACTATACAGTAAAAATCTCGAAATGGTGAGTCCCCGCCAATTGTTAAAAAGGAAGCCAGAAACAACACAACCATTTTGGGGGTCCGCCTATTTCGCCACATACACATCCCGCTTGCAAAGGAGGCTTGTACATGTTAATTCGAGAAGACACCCCCAAGAGGTTTGCTAGGTCCTCGATTTTGAGCGAAGGCCCAAATGAAATCGGTGCACACAATATGGGACCCTGACCGCAGATGCTGTTGTTTTTCTACCTGCACAGAATTGGAGGGCGCCTTACTTTCTGGCGACTGAAAGTAAGGCGCCTGCCAAATATTCTGGTCACTTGCCCAAAGCCAAGCCTTTAATTTGCTTTTCCCATTTGGGTCAATTTTGAGTCAAGGTTCCAGAAGGTTAGTTCCAGGTCCCTAAGGGGCAACTGAGTCTGTTCACAGCTGGCCCGCTGCGTTTTGTTTTTTTGTTTTCTTAAAAATTTTTCCGGGGCGGCGTGTAGCACGAGAATCGTGCTAGGAGACCCTGGCGGTGGCCATGGAGGGATCAGGCGGGGCGGCTGTCAAAATCAGGCAGTGCCTTTGGTGGCTTCATGTGGGTGTCAGAAATAGGTACCAAATTGGGAGCCTGCTGAGTGGAAACAAGAACTCAAACCTGCGGTCGAAATCCTGGTGGTTTAATTTTGACCCATACCCATGTGGGGCTGTCTTGTTTTGGGTATGTCGGCTTCATGTGGGCCAGTCTGTTTTGAGTGTCGTGTACCCTGCTTTTCGGCTGGTTTCAAGGGACACCAGTAGGACAACCACCGTTTTAGAGTTCCCTATTTTGAGACCACACACACACACACATTCCCACGGCACCTGCTTAACCTTGACAGCGACTTCATGTGTTTGAGAATGGACGGGCAGTGGGTTGCATGTTCTCTTATCCATGGGCCCGTCCAACCCCTCCCCCAGACCCTGCCAAACCCTCCAAACCCCCCAACCCCCCCAAACACCCCCACACACACCCCAAAGCCCCCAAACCCCCCCAAGGCGAAACCCATCCATTTCAGGCCTCATCCACGGAGGCCTGGAGGCGCTGTTTCAGATGGGCCAGAGCTTTCAGGACCGTTGCGCATGCAAGCAGACGAAGGTCCAATAGGGGGGGCGAAAAAGCACACCTTAAGGCCGAAAGGCGTTTTGAAGTTTCATGCCAAAAATTGCTGGTTTCTTTCACTACGGAAAAAGGGGATCCACAATTCTGAGAGACTTAGACGAGGGCCCTTGGAGAGTCCATAAAAAGATTTGGAGGGTTCCCCAGTTTTGACAGGGTCCATGGATGTGAACATGCGCTTCTGTTGGGGCGGGGTCTCGGAATTTGCTTTCGGGGGTTTTCCCTACCACCGTTTAGATTGTTTGGAGGTTGTCTCCAATGAACCCAGACAGACCCAGCTTAGGATGTTGGTTTCCTTCCAGGGCCCTGCAGAGCGGCTGTGGATGGTCGAAATCTGTTCGCACCAGCTAAGAAACCCAGGAATGATTCGATTCGCCTGGAAATACCCACAAACGTTAGGGTTTCAGACATGGATTCAAAGTGGTGCGAGCGGATTTCGTCCATCCAGAGGTGAGTTCCATACCGGCGCGGCCAAGAGATGACTGGCAAGCAAGCCTGGAACTCCCCCAATTTGCATGTCCCCGTTTTGGTCTTCGTAAAACGCCTCGATCCAAGGCTCCACAGTTTCACCAGAAAGGAATCTGGGCGAAGCTTTTATTTTGCGACCTCCATGAAGCAATTTTCGGTTGTAGGGGCCCCTTTTATTTCAGGATATGTGAACTGCAATCCGCCCGGAAAGAGTAGGTCAGAACAACAACTGGTCCCTATGTGTTGACTCTCGCAGCGGGAGTGCAGGAGTTGAAGCTCTTGGGATCCCCGCGCGCACACAGAATTAGGGTTGCTCTACATGATCAACCGGGAGCACGTTGGTCGTGGGTTCCGCGGGGTCCTCGTTCCAAAGAGGCCCAAAACTCCGCAGACACGTTGGAACTCTTGGAACTCTTGGAAGCTCTGTGCCACTTGAAGCACCCGAGCATTGCCGCCTTGTGAACTGGATGCTAAATAGTCCCAAAGGGAAGCTCATAGGCGATGGGTGCTGGCTGATTGTTTTTTCCAGGCCTCCCCCTTTGCAGTTGACAAGGCAGGCAACAGCGCCTCTTTGGCAAGTGGATGCGACAGTTGAGCATCCATGAATCGTGCTGGTTTATTAGGGGGCTTTGCTGCCCAAATTGAAGCTTTCAGCTTGGTGGCTCGCAGCCCTCCCCTTTGATTCTTAGCTTTTTAGGTTTTAGTGATTGGGTTTCTGAAACCCACAACAAGTGGACAACTTTTAGCAGGGGAGCTGAAAACGGCCAGCCCAGCTAGAAATAGGACTCCTCCATTTGTCAACCACGGGCCGAGTGTAATCCTGGGTGCTCAAGCCAGAAAGCTACATTCGCACGGTTTCGAAAGCGCGGAGTCCATTTCAAGCGGAACTGGAAGTGCGACCCGAACAAAGTTTGCCCGCTGCGGAATATATTTTCAAATTGGAATTGCAGATTGGCAGAACATTGCAATTCACAGATTTGGAAAGCTTGCTTGTCAGAACGTTACCTTTATGCTTTCGGGAATTCTATTGTCAGAGCATGCTCCAGCTAATTCTGGAATTGTCGCAGGATTAGTTATTGCCGGTTGCGGGGCAATGACAAACAACTCAATATGTTTGGATTTTGGAATCTTTCTTCAGCAAATGATACTACTTTGCATCCAAGACATGGTTTGCATCCCCAAGTAAAGCCATCCAGTTGAACAGTTGGTTTCCAAAGAGGATGTCCAAACCGGGGAAGACGGCTTGGTATTCTTAGCCTTACCTCTTTAAGCCACCTCCAACACGGGGGGGGCCTGTCAATGGGCAAACTCTATGCCGATGGGCACGATTCCAAGTGTTCACGTGTGATCCACCCGAAGCTGCCGATCGGCGCGGATTTGGCAACCGTCCACATGGCTACGGGTCAAAATTCAACCACCAGGGCCCGCAGGTTTTAGTCCTTGTTTTCTCCATTTACCGGGGTAAGCCATGCTGGGGTTACCCTAATTTTTGGCCGCCCGCATGTCCAACATGGGTTATTGTCTAGGTCCCCCAGTAGTACCCTTTTACCCTTTTTTGGGGGAGGGTTCCCCTACGAAAATAAACTACAGAAAAAAGGGTACCCTTATTCTAATCTCTCTACTGGAGGCCTAGTTGTGTTGTGTTTTTGCGAATTCCCAAGCCGCATCCCGAGCTACCAGCGAGGGGCTCCGATTTTGGGACGCGAATCAACTCGGGACCCGCGACGCGAGGAGCAGCACTACAGCGGGGCGGACGAGGCGTTCGCCAAGGCCGGATGGGCGGATTTGGCGCCCAGCTGAGCCGGAGGTGGTGACCTCTTCAGGTGCCAAACCTGGTGATTCCGAGGATACCAGTTCCATTTGCTGAAATGAGTATTGTGTCTAGGTCCCCCAGGGGAAGGCTTCCACTACTAAAATAGAGTACAGAACAAAGTTGGTGCCCTTATTCTAACCTCTCTACTGGAGGACCTAGCAGTTCTTCCATTTACTGAAATGAGTATATTGGTTTGTTCCCATTGTTGGGGAGTCTATCACTGGGATATGTTTGTTTTTCCGGGGGGCTTAAGCAAATGGAGGAGTTGGATAGTTAGTTGGGGGTGATTCGAAAGCTGGGTAGATGAAGGGGGTAAGGCAATCCCAAAAACAAGTGGGCACGCTTGATTCTTTACCCCTTCAACACAGGGCGGTTCCTGTTTCAATCCCGCAGTATTTTGATTCTCTGCCAGGCGATCAGACAAGGCAGTCACTTTTGTTGGGCCAGTTTGTGGGCTGCCTGAAAAGACATCTAGGTCCCCCAGTAGTGCCCTTTCTCGCTTTTTTTAGGGTTGAGAGGGTTCCCCTACTAAAATAGACTACAGAAAAGGGCATCCTTATTGACAACCTCTCTACTTGAGGACCTAGACATAGTTTCAGATTTCACCTGACAGCTCAAAAAGGCATGCTGAAACCTCGTAGTCATCAAGCCCTCAAAGTCGGTCCTCAGAGATGCAATCATGGCCCCTCTAGTCGGAGACTCGGTGCCCATCATGAAACTTGGGCCCCAGAAACTTGGGCCCCAGAATGTGTCCCTGGGGTTCGGGGTCCACTTGATGTGTGGTGATCCTTTTTGGCGCAAATGACATGCAACGAGCGAGCGCCATGAAAGATGGCCGAAGCCACGTTGTAGCAACCCCCACACGATTGGGTCTGTGCAATCAGTTAAGTTCTGGACAACTACGAGCGACCTCCAAAAGAAGTTTGATGTGTGACGCCCACACAGGCTCCTTCCTGAGAACACTGTTAGTTTAGGTTGGTTAGGTATTGCAATATGAGAGGCTAAGACCGCATGATTATCCCATGAACAATACCCAACTCCATATTCAGGCCCTTGCATTCCATCTTTCTAGGTTTTTTTTTTTTTTTTTTCTCCGTAGGCATCCTCAGTTGAGTGCAGCGTACTCCGATCCCCATTGGCCATAGGCCGGTTCCTAGCCGGTGGCACAGGGTTATCGCAAGGCCTCGATAAATCGCTCATGTTATCCCTGGAGCAACAAACTGGTTGATGAAATAGTGGGTTGTCCTCTTTGTAGTGGGGATTCATCACTTTCTCACTTCCAGAGTTTATGGACTTGAAAGTTTGTTGGGAGACCATTTAAGTGGCAGAGAGCAAAAGTTTGGATTTGTTTAGGCCATCCGCTCGGGACGTGAGCTTTTGGAGGGATCAAATCTGAGGCCAACATTACAACTATGTCGGAAGTGCCACAAGTCGGCTCGACTTTTCGGGCAGACCGGTCAGAATGTGGCAGGAAATGGTGGAGGGCATGCAGGCCGGCGATGTCGAGTCTGAGTGGTGTTCGGATGGATCAGTTTACGGGGTGTCTAGTACTTGTGGTGATTGATTTCAAAGCAGCAAAGGACGTCTATGGGGTGTGTAAGTGGTGTTTATGTGGTGTTTCAGGCAACGAAGAGAATCTTAAAGGAACCAAGACCATCTTGAGGTTCCGGATACATTGGATCTGGGCGTCCCTTGATTAAGATGGAGGCGATGCTGGAGAAGCATTCGACCTATCTGTGCTTTTTGATTTTTGCAGTTTCTTGCAGATGATGGGGATGCTGGAGATGCTGGCTGGGGCTGGTGATGCCAGCGCTCATTCATTACATTGACAAGCTTACTGATTTGTAAAGCAAATGCCATTGGACAGGAACTCCTGTGTAGAATTTAATTTGACAGAAAGTAGTTATGATTAGAATTCTGATTTGCATAGAAATTATGATTGGATTCTTTCCTTCTTGAGTTCTACTTAAATCCAGTTGGAAATCGAGCAGAAGTTGATAAGAATGGCAGTCATTGACCTGCTTGTCACCGTCACCAGGGTGTGAGAGGGTCGGGGTGGGTGCGGCAATAGCGCCACCATCACCGTGCAATAGGCTGTAGCCGTCATGCTCGCGGGGAAGGGTGTGAGAGGCGGAGCACGCAGTAGTGGACAAGTCGAGACATCTGCGCGAAGTGCATTTCGTGGTGACACCTGGCGCAGAGCCGATCCAGGATCCATAAACCCGTGCCATTTTTCGAGGGGGGTGTTCCCTCCAGAAGTGATGAATCCCCACTAAAGGGACACCCCCCTACTAAAAAACCATGGGTTTATTAATCCGGGGTTAACATTATGATTCCGGGTGCCATGTGTTACATGCTTTGCCTTTTCCACTGTTTGTGGGATACATAAGCAGCCCCCCTGGTAGTGTAAAAACCCTTTTCAAGGGAGGCTGCTCATTTCACTGGAAAAGGCAAACTCCGTTTGTTGACTCTGTTGGTGATGCCATTGATGTGGGCTCGCTGCGTTTCTTGCTCAAGGCACCAGTGGTGCCCCTCCATGGCGCTTCGCTGGGCAGAAGCTTATGGCTGCCCCGCGCGCCATGGAGGACTCCTCTCTTTGCCTGCTCCAAAAGCGCGGGAAGAAGGCGCGCTCAGGGCGAGGGGCAAGGTCATGCTGAGCGAAGTCCTCGGCACCACGGTTTATGGTTTCCATGGTTGACGCCACTTTTTGTTGGTATTTGCGGTGGAATCATCATTCCAGGATTTCTTGGGTGGTGCAGGATTTTGGCCATTCACAGTAGGGGGCATCGGCTTTAGGGTCGGTTGCTATTTTGCAGGTTGGGTATCGGCGTTGGGTAGGCCATCAGCAGGACCTGATGGCAACAAGCGGACGGATATATTTTTCCAAGTGGAAAACTGCAGAAGGGGTGATGTCCCATTGGTTTCCCTTAGCACCCGGAAATTATGTTAAAGGCGACACGCCTGTTTGAGTTCGACGCAAGAAACAACATGGCTCCAGCCTTGGCTTGCAATGTCTGAGTTGCTTAGTTTGCCTAAATGCAGCACCCGCCATGTTCAAATGCGGACTAGACGGAAGAAATCTGTGAGAAGTTGGCAGGTTGTTGATCCCAGTGTTCATAGGGCTTCATCCATCCCCACTGGTCTGAAAAAGGTTGCGTGCATCCGCCGACCTATGATGCCGAAATCGATACCTTGATTGCTATTGGGTTGAATCTTTAGACTTTCACTTTTTGATTGAAATCTTAAGCACAGTCCACTTTAATTACCTTGGTTGCTATTTTCGGAGGGTCTCGCAGAGGGTCTCGCCAGCAAAGGTGCTCCGAACTTGTGGAGCGGATTTGAGCAGAAAAAATCAGGTAACAACACCTGGGTTTGTGTTTTTGAGGGTAGCCTTTCCAGGGCTGATTTAGAGGGAACTCAAGCGGAACATCACCATTATAGGGATCCTAAGCTAGAAGGGTTCAAGGCATTTCCTGGAAACCAAATGAGCATGGGTCAAAGCAGGGTGAGCCAACCAGTTGCGGTGCTTCTTAGATTTGTCTACACCAGACTGAAAAGGGTAACAGATTTGGGGTTTTCAAGGGGCAAAGAGAAGCGTGCCCATTTCCAGGGCTGTCCTTAGACAGATCTTGAATCTCCCCGTTTGGGTGATTTAAACAGCTTCTGGGCCATTTCAACATGAGTTGTCTATTGAAGGGATAATGTTCAAAGGGACATATATATATATATAGTATATATATATATATATACATGTATGTATATCATATAAGGAACCCTGGTTTGTGATTCTCCTCAACATTGCAAGTGGAAACTAGGAGCCGTTCCATATAATTTGCAGCAAGCGGGGGGTCCTTGCTTGAATGGTCAACCCAATTGGCTACTGGGTCCTCAAAATGCACACTGAAATAGGACTGCAGCTTTCGAATCGTCGTGTTTCGATCGATTCGTTGACCCGCGGCCCGCATCAGGTCAACGCAGCCACCGAACTATTGACTCTTGAGACTCTCGACCATGCACTGCAGCCCTTCATTGTGGGTGCGACCTTGCCCCAGGTGTGCTTCCTGATATCTGCTGCTCGCAGTGAATGTTTAGCATGTGTGCTGTGCTTGCGCAAGTGGCACACGTTGGCTTGTAGTCGCCGAAGTTCCGTTCCTGACTGTTGAGAAAGCCTGCATTCTGACATGTTGCCAGCCACCGTCTCTCGGTTCGGGAAACGGACGGAGCATCTGAGGCATTTCTTTTGACGGCCATGGTCCTGGTGGAGTGTAGCTCGTTGCTTGGCTCGCGCCGGAGCTCGCTGCGTTTGGGATGATTCGAAGATGACCCTCAAAGCTATAAGCATAGATTCAAAAACCACCCGTCGCAAGGATTCGGATCCTGTAAATCAACTGGTACTTAGGGGCGATGGTTCAGAACGAGCAAACAGGCAAACAAGTCCGGCCACAGGTGCAGAGTGCGGATAAACTTGTAACATTTGGGTCTTGTTTACAAAAACGGATACCTTTTATTATGGTTTTAAAAGGACACCACCCGGAAAACCCATTTTTTTGCGGCCCCAGCCTTAGAAAAGACACCCCCACATGCGCAGCTGCCATGGCCCCGACTCGCGATCAGGTCGAAGCCCGGGCGCTTCGCCGGGATCCGGGGAATGCGGTGCCTCTGGATGACTCAGGCCGCGCTCTCGTTGCGAAAGCGCGCGTGGGGGGAGTCATTGGGTGTGTTTGAAGCTCATTTTCTTTCTTTTTTTTTGGGGGGGAAGGGGGGGAGGTAGCTGCTTCCTTTGTTTGAACAGCTCACTTCCTGAGTTCATGGACTTGATGCGTCACTTGTTGGGCTTAAATGGAACAGATGTGTCCAATCAGCCAGTTAAATAGAAGGGACTGGTCAAACATGCTATGTGGTTCAGGAAGCCAATCTTTGTCAACTTAAAATTTGGGACAACCTGACTTGGATTCTTCAACGGGTTCTTGGAACCTGGCGACAAGTCAACTGCAGTGAATTTTGCCCCCCCCCCCCCCCCCCCCCCCCTGCTGTTTTGGTAGCCATTCTTGGAGCACTTGGAGCTTGGGAGTACTTTTTCTTCAGAACGGCTGACTGATCCTTCGTCAACATTGCTAGGAGCTAGATTCAGTTAGATCATGACTAGTGCGGACATCATGTTGTTCCCCAACAGCTGAAAGCTTTGGGGTCTCAGCCCAGATAGCCCAGATAGAGCCTATTTTTTGACGTGTTTTGGCTTCAACGTCCACTTGTACTCAGTAGTACTTGGCTGACATTTCCCTCGGCCAGGTGGCGTGGTCGACCGTGGACATGACCATCCTGATCCCAGCGCCTTGGACGATATGGACATCAACCTCTCAACCTCCACGACATAAACATGTGCCAACCACACCCACACCTCAAGCGCACAAAAAAGGGATGACCAACTTCCCAACCTTGTTTCACCTTTTTCACCGGCTTCCCAGCTTCCGCCAAGGGGTCGTCTCTACCACCCAGCAGGAAAAAGACAAAACATATCCAGCCCTAGGCAAAAGCAACGGAAAACACAAAACCATCCACCTCTATTGGTTTTGCCCCAAAATCCCTTCAACAAGCCCGCGTTACCGCCGCGTTGGTCCGAAAAAAAGTAAACAACAATGAAATAAATAGAAACGGAAATCACAGGGGGAAAAAAAACATAAGCAACAACAACAACAACAGCCAAAAAAAAAAAAAAAAACGTCCCGCCGGAACGCGCGCGCGCGCGCCAAGACGCGTCTCCCGTGCCGCGCGCGTCGAGCGCGCGCGCGTCTCTCCCGCGCGTCGAGCGCGCGAGGTGTCCTTCGACCTGGCGAGGCAGCTGGGCTACGGGGCGGTGGCCTCCGGCGCGGTGGTGGCCGCCTCTCAGGCCATCGGGGGGGGGGAGGGGGAGTGGGGGGGGGGCGGAAGGGGCGGAGGGGGGGGGATCTGATGGGCACACAAACGCACACAAAAAGAAAGCACAAAAACACAAAGACACAAAAAAAAGAGGGGTTTGCAAAAGTGGGACACTTGGAGGGTTAGCTGGATTTGAGGTGGGATTCAGATGGTTTGTGTCGGCACGCGGGGCTGCCCCTCGTTTGATACAATTGACATACAAATTACAAGCATCGTTATTGTTCTCTATCAACTCGCTAAAGTCTTCGAGTATTTGAAGCATCCCCACTTTTGAATATCCCCAAGGTTTCTCCAATTATTCCTTAGGGTTCCTCTATCTGTGTGGAGGCTCTCCAATACTGCATCCAAGGCACGGGGATGAAACGGATCCCGACAAGAGTCTTGTGGTCCTTTCCTACGGGGACGGTGTTCAATCAGAAACCAAACGAATGCAAGTGTTGGATGGTTGTAAGGGAAGCCGTAGGGTCCAGTTCCTGCTGAAAGAAATTCGGACTTTCAATCACAAGAGTGGGGGATCTTTTTGATATTCCATTTCAGGACTGCACATGACACGGGCCAGGATCTAGCAATGCCAGG